CGTTAGCCATATGGAGCTCTTGCTCACACACACACACCAGATGAGCTTCTGTAGACGTCAGTCTCATACGCTACCATCTCAGTGTTAAACACAAACACACCAGCCGCACCAAAACATGGACTTTTGGTAACTGTGGAGAAATACGTTCACTCATTGGCACAACTGGCTGAACTGCACTTGAAAACTTCTCCTAGTGTCGTTCATTTGAAAACAGTGTTGTGTATGTGTTTGTGTCAGACGGACGGCTGTGTGTGCATCTGTCAGGTGTGTGTGGGCCGGTCACCTCTGGCAGAGCAGATTTTATGTTGTTGTGGCCGTTATAAAGTCGCTGTGCTGTGAAAATGGTTTGAAACATTCTCATAGACCACCATTAAATTAATGCTGTGTGAAAGGTCATGCTGCTCTCAAACAAGACTGTATGTGTGCTATAAGCCAGTCCTGTAGTCTTTAGGAGCAACTGGAATATACAGCAATGGCAAAAAAGTAGTTTACAATTACATCTTACTAAAACAAAATGCTGAATGCCACTGCATTAAATATCCACATACCAAAGCATGTGGCATTTATTTGAGGCCTTTCCCATTATTATTGTTGTTATTTTAAAAATTAGAAACACTTTTTGTGTGTACAAAATCACACAAATCAGAGCTTTAAATGTCCTTATAATTGGCAAATATTGCAGACCAATGGAGATCAGCGGTCACACACTCAGACGCACCTGAGCGTGAGGTGAGAGACACCTGCGCCGGTCCTGATACTCCCGTGTTACTCAAGCATGTTTAACACGTTTGGGTCAAACAGCGGTAATGGGCGTCTCTGACTAACGCTTGATCAAATATGCTTATGCAAATGTCATGAAAAGCATTATTTATAAAAGCACTAGCGTGTGTGTGTGCGGTGAAGTGGTGTTGTCTATTTTAAACCGTTATTATGCAGGTAAAGTGTCCCCACAAACCCTGAATCTCAACCAGGGGTGCGTTTCCCAAAAGCAACTATGGTCGCGCAAGTTCCGTCGTTATCAATAGAGTTCAATGGAACGAACCACCATAGTTGGCTAACGATGCTTTTGGGAAACGCACCCCAGATCAGAAACAGACAACAGGGTTCATATTGTATCGTATCGTATCATATATCATATCATATATTTTATTAAAACATTTTTAATTGGAATTTTTTTGCATATTTTATTTTACATTATTATTATCATTATTATTAGATTTTGCATAGTTTATTTTATTTTATTTGTTTCCAACCTTGTTACTGAACAAATTCAGTTTTTTGGGGGGTTTTTTTACAATACAATAACAATAACTTTGACGGTGTTGAATGATTGAGCTTGATGAATGTAGTCAACTTGTGTAAAATTGAGTTAAATGACGTGACGTTATTCACAAACAGACATCTGATGTTTAAAACTGCAGCTTCATGCGATGATAATATGATGTTTGATAGCTAATGATTCTCACAAGCAAAGACAGGAGGATTGCATTTGTGATTTTGGGAGGTTAACAGTATATTTAAAGCGCAGTGTTTGTGAGAGACACTCGTTTGACAGACTCTAATCATGAAAGTGTCTCTGACTGACAGCGAATACAAGCCGCTCATGCGGGAGAAATCGAACGTGTCACTCGCTTCTGAAGAAGAGAAAAGACACAAATGTCTTCTGATGGACTGAGAGACTGAGCTGTTTCTGTGCTCGTGAAATGCCCAGATGATCTACTGAATCTTCACAGCAGAGCTCACCGCACCACACACACCGTATCCCACAATGCAGTGCGCACAGCGTCCGTTTCCAGTGTGACGAATGAAGCGAAGACATGCGACTGCAGAACTCATGTCTGTGAGAGTGCATGCATTGTGCATCAGAAACATTTCAAACCGTCGTATTCTGCAGTGTCACATGACCTGATCAAATAACCAAAATCAGAAGCACAGCTGATATCACTGTCTGTGCGTTTGTCTCGCTGGAAATGGAGGTGCTGTGTAGCGGTACGGCGGCGCTGTTAATCACAGTATAACTGTGCGATGTGGTTCATGCGCTGCATGTTTCAGAGTGAAGCGCAGCACTGTGTTCAGTTACACGCCAGCGTTTGAGTCACATTTGAAAACAACACGCTTCAAAAACTTGTAATGAGAGTGATTTATAAACCAGCAGTTATCATCATTATTATTTTTTCTTAAATACTTATTTTGAACAAGACATATTACTATAGAAAATATTTCCTGTTTTGTTTAATATTTTTATTTTAGCAATTAAAATATTATTAATATTAACCAAACTGAAATAATAGTATTGTGATTTTACAGTTTTGCTGTAAAATAAAATAATTATTGCTTACTTATTTAGAAGGGAGATATTACAGTAGTAACATTCCTTATTACTTTTTAAAGTGAAACATTACATTAGTAATATTTGTTTAATATAATAATAATAATTTACAGTACAACAGTTAGTTATTATTATTATTATTATACATTTTGGCCAAATTGTGCAGCCCTACAAACAAGCACGGCAAACTTGGAGATTTTTTTAAAATTGCAATTGTACATACTGTACATAGCAGGATACATAATTACCCATAATCCTCTCCAAGAGGAGAAAACAAAGCCTTCATATTGGGGGAAAAAATGTCCCTGTCCCAAATCGCACCCTAAGCGGGATTTACTGTCGACCCCAAACGCCGTTAGAGCAGATTCACTGACAGCCGCATCTTTGATGTGTTACTCGAGTGAACAGATAAGTGTATGACACCCGTCCTGACAGCCGCACCAGATACGATTTTACGTATTTACATGCTGAGAAACTGCGCTGTGAAGTACAGAGCGAGCGCGAGAGAGGCGGTGGCTGTTGGCAGCGACGGCAGATATTTTGGACGACTCAGTGAAATCCCTCTGGTCGCGGCAGTGACACCCCGCTCTCAGATCCAATTATAGACAGGAACTATGGGATACGCATGTCACATCCTGTATTAACTGCCCACCTCAAGCACGAGCAGCTCTCTAGCTAGCGAGCAAGTGCTCACCGCCATGATCCGCCATACCAGGGATCTGACACTGTTCTAACTGAAACTATTAGAAATGGTTTCATTAAATGAAAAGGAAATAAAGTATAACTGTTAGATGAAAAACTAAATCTAAACGAACATTGGCAACTAACATTACTAAAACAAAAATTAAACCTATATAGAAATATTTTAAAAACAAAGACTTAATAAAAATGGCAAAAGCACGTAACAAAATGATTAAAATTAAAACACAACAGTCTATAAATAATACTAAAATAACACTGACTCTACATGTTTAAACATCTATAACTAGTTGACTAGTCAGTTGCCGTGCTTAGTCTCAAACATTGTGACCCATCCCCAGACTTGAATATTTGTAAAACAAGTCTCTTCTGCTCACCAAAGCTGCATTTATTTGATCATAAATACAGAATAAAACGTGAAATATTATTACAATTTTAAACAGCTGTTTTCTATGTGAATCTCTGTTAAACTGTAATGTATTTCTGTGATGTGCAGCTGTATTTTCAGCATCATTCCTCCAGTCTTCAGTGTCACATGATCTTCAGAAATCAGTATAATATGCTGATCTGCTGCTCGAGAAACATTTCTGATTATTATCAATGTTGAACACAGTCGTGCCGCACAATATTTTTGTGGAAACTGTGATGCATTTTATTTTTCAGGATTCACAGATGAACAAAGTTCAAAAGAACAGCATTTATTTGAAATATACATCTTTTTATAAATGTCTTTACTGTAAATGTTGATTAATTTAATGCGTCCCTGCTGAGTATAAGTATTAAAGTCTTTAAGTCTTACTGAATGGTAGTGTCTGTATGCACTCAAGATCCCGCCCCCAGTTTCATCTGATTGGTCGATTTGTTTTAAACAGATCCCCTGCTGTGCATTATTTGTGTTTCTTACATTAGTGAGGTGGACTTGTACATATATAGCATTTAAATCATGCATAATAATATTTCAGGACAAATATTCATTCCACTGTTTGTACCTCATTTGGATCTTGGCGGGTGTTAATTTTGGACTCTGGGATTCATTACCATCTGCTCTATTAATGACACCTAATAAACCGCGCTCAGATCATGATGTAAAACTCTTAAAATAAATGCGGTTTTTGATCTCATGGCTCTGATGTGATCCTGACGCCGCTCGTCTTCATTAGTAACTAATACAAACTTCTGGGGAAAATGAAATTGTTGTTTACAGTGTTTGGCATGTTGGTAACGACAGCCATATTTGGCACAGTCATGCTTTGTTGTGAACAAACAAAACAAATCAATAAAGAAATAGTATGCATATGAACAAATATAAAATGGACTGGAAAAATAAGATAAAACACTTAAAAGCACAAAGTTAAATTGCATAAAAATATTAAATTGGCAAGTTAATTACAAGTAACAGAATTACAAGTAACTAAATTTATTTAACCAGATTACTTTTTTCCAAGTAACGGATTACTTTTAAGGATACAGTGAAACATCTGCACTACTTTTTCAAATAAGTAACACGGGTTACTTTGTTTTTGCATTTATTGACTGAGAGCTCTCCTGTTCCTGTGTTGAGAGAAATCAGGAGTGAGTGCGGAGGCGTTTCCTTCAGCCGGAAGATTATTCATTTCACTTTTGCTGTGAAAGAGTCTTTACAGTTGCCAAAAATATAACTAAAAAAAACGCAAGCCCAGACCTGTGACAAAAAGTAAGGCAATGCATTGCTTTCTATAAAGAGTAACGTAGTAACACAATTGGTTACTTTTTTAGGGAGTAACACAATATTGTAATGCATCACTTTTAAAAGCAATTTTCCCCAACACTGTTAGTAGGCTCTGAAATTCATGGGGTTATCCTCACATCTTTGCTCGGTTCATCTGATTGAGTTTCTTCTTTCATTGACTGCTGTGTTGTGTAAAACGTCTCCGTTCAATAATCTGTCTGAATCAGTTGTGTAACCACGCCTCTTCTGCTTTCTCTCTTTCAGCGCCACCAAAGTTCTTACGAACCCCGAACGATCAGACGGGCGTTCAGGGCGGCGTCGCCTCCTTCATCTGCCAGGCTACTGGCGACCCGCAGCCCAAGATCGTGTGGAACAAGAAGGGGAAGAGAGTGAGCAACCAGCGTTTTGAGGTATTAGGTCTATTGTTCTGATGTAAAATGCTCGACAAGTGAATGCTAACAATAACCATGCCCATTAACCACACCCACTGCTTCAGCCACACCCACTCATTAGCATATCCTCCCACCACTAACATGCACGATTACTCATGGCCTGTTGCCGGATTCACAAAAATCTTTAGGGAAAAAAAGTTAAGAAAGTTCATAAGTTCTTCATAAATTCTAAGATGTTCGTAATAATGTTCCTAAGTGTGGTTCTTGAAGAAAAAAAAAAGCTATTTGCATCGCTACTTGCTTGACTGAAGTCCAGCTCTCAACGTCATGTTTTTATTTCGAGTTAAACATAATTATTTTAAATGAGTCTGTCTTAAGATGGATAGGTCTGTTGCATTCGTTGCACTTGTTAATTTGCATACATATATATATATATATATATATAAGAGCCCGACCGATATGGGTTTTTTGGTGGTTTTTGGTGGCCGATGCTGATACCGATGATGGATAGGTCTGTTGCATTCGTTGCACTTGTTAATTTGCATACATATATACATACATATATATATATATATATATATTAGAGCCCGACCGATATGGGTTTTTTGGTGGCCGATGCTGATACCGATATTAGGGAGTAAAAAAAGACCGATATCGTTATATCGGCCGATATCCTTTATGTGTAGGCTATATTATAGTACAGTATAGTCAAAAGTTTGGACACACTTCCCATTCGTGTGTCCAAACTTTTGACTGGTACTGTATATAGAATACAGTATATAGCCTACATAAATAGAATATATATACATAAACACATTTTTTGCAATGATAACTCAAATGTGGTGATCAAACATTTATAATGATATGACAAACATAAGCTTCTGTAGTGGAGGCAGGGTATTTAACAATTTAACAATAAACTTTATTATTTAAAATGAGTCTGACATCAGTGCACTTAACAGTAAACTTCACTTCAATTTAACAATAAACTTTATTATTCAAAATGAGTCTGACATCAGTGCACCTAACAGTAAACTTCACTTCACTTATTATAAATAACAACACAAATAGAACAAAATATAGCCTATATAACTTGAATTAAGAAGTTAAACAAGTTAACTGTAGGGCAAACAAGCTACTGCCAAACCAACAGGGGGAGGTTTATGCAGGAAGCACAGCTTTTCCAAATGTAAACATCTCAAATTAATAAATAATAATAATGAATAATATTGTTTTCACAAATTCTGTGTTGTATTTTCTGGTAATCAAATGAACATGCAGAACATTCGTATTTAAATAAGTCTTTTTGCAGTTTAATATTCACAAACACAGTCTCTCTCTCTATATATATACTGTATATATACTTAGACAAATTCCATGAAATGTTTCATGTTATGCAGTAAATTCTGTTTTTATGACTGGATTTCACGATTCTGTCCATGTTTTCTGCATCATGGAAATCATAGGGCCCTACTAATGTAGCAAACGAGTATGATAAGCTCATTGTGAGAATAAAAGACGGGGACATTGTGTCTCTCCAACTAGGTGTTAAATCACCATTTAACAGACTCAAGCCAGCACCGCACTGCCGTATATTGGACTGCAGAAAGATACTATCTTTTCAATCTGCTACGTTACTGACTGTACTGACAAACTGTACTGACACCGTGTCTGCGCCGCAACAGAACGCGACAAAGTGACCGTTGAAAATCATTTGAACTTTGTGTCAGCACATCATAAATAGAACGAGGCATCAGTTTACTGCATCCAGTGTAGACAACATTACTGATTATAATGGGTTCTATTCTACACCGGACACGAGCGGCGCGGTGCGGCGCAACAAAATAGAATATAAATTCTACTGTATTTTGTCGTGCCACGCGATGTGATGTGACCGATGTGATAAGCATGAGTTGTGGGCCGCAGCACGGCCGGTATAAACACCAGCATTGACTGAATGTCCGCGATGAGCTCCGGTGGCCGTAACACAGGCTTTAATGCGCCGTAGACACGTGCCGTGATGCGCAGATCAGCTCTAGCCTTTTAACGTCACTGAATCTCCTGTTAAAAATTAACCATCCATTCATCATGTCATCATGCAAAACTAAAAATTATAATCATTGTAATGTGATGATCAAATATAGGTGCGGGTGGGTGGTGGGCGGATAATTTGAAGCAGCGAACTCGGGTGAAGTTTGAGCTCAACCGCGCATCTCTACACTACACTGACCTGGGTCGCCAGTAGCAAACAATGGAGCGCGCTCTGCTGGACAAACTAAGTAATTACACCATTCATAAGCATTGAATCTGCGTTATATGTTCTGTAAGAAAAAAAATTCATATATAATCAAATGATTTTTGTTAAATTAAATTTCATCTAAAAGTATTTTTATGGCATATATATAATGCATTATAGAAACATTTAGATTGAATTAAATGTTACATTGTAAATTAAGCGTTACATGTTACTTTTTACAGTTTAAATTACATTTTATATTAAATATCAAATTATTTTTATATTAAATGATTATTTAAATTAAACTAAATTAAAAGTTATATTGCTCTGTAAATGTAATGTTATACATTTTTTTTATTTTAAATTACATTTTATATGAAATATAAATCAATTTATTTTATTATATTGCATTTTATATTACAATAATTTTATTATGAAATATAATGTAATAAGAAGCATTTAAATTAAAGGTTATTGCATTGTAAATTAAATGTAACTTTATTTTTGTTATAATTTGAATTACATTTCATACAAAATATTAGAAATTTAATGTACTAATGTATCGTTTTATGTTCTGTAAAAAAAAAAGTCATATCGGCGGCATATTCGCTGATACCGATATATCTGCGACAGACTCATATCGGCCGATAATATCGGCAAAACAATATATCGGTTGGGCTCTAATATATATATATATAAAAAAACCAATCAAAACTATAGACATATTTAGGGAAAAATGACTATAAAACATAAGAATAAAAAAAAAAATACTGAAACTTTAGCTAAAATTAAAATAAAAAAAACAGATGCTACAAAAATAAAAAATATTTAATAATAATAAGAAATAGTCCTCGTTTCATGTTTCATGCGATCTGCTTTAAGAGTGGGCCAGATCATGCCAGCCCATTCTTAAAGCCGCCAGGTTTATCGTGAAACGTCTGGTTTAAGAATTAGCATTGCATTCAGACATTCACTGAGCATTTTAATACACTGTTTATATATATATATATATATATATATATATATATATATATATACTGTTTAATTGTTACATACTTAATAGTGCTGTCAAATGATTAATCACAATTAATCGCATCTAAAATAAAAGTTTTTTTTATACATAATATATGTGTGTGTACTGTATATATTTCTTATGTATATATAAATACACAAACATACATGTATATATTTGAAAAATATTTACACACACACACACGTGTGTTATATACTCTCTTATATACATTATATATTCATATATAATTATATTTTATTTTATATTTTATATATAAACAAAACATATTTTTCTTAAATGTATACATGCATGTGTGTGTATTAGGCTAATATATACATAATAAATATACACAGTATACACACATATATTATGTAAACAAAACTTTTATTTTGGATGCGATTCATCGTTTGACAGCACTAATACTTAAGTATACTTAAAAGTATCATTTAGTATTCTAAATATACTTGGGCCTACACTGGTGTAAACATTTGTTTTTGTACATTTCTTGACGTTTTCTTCGCACACAATGGTTTATTTTACTCAACTTCAGCATAAATTGTACACGTTTATAATAACGAGTCAGCTTCGCGGTGAAAAATCTTAAAGTGAAGAATGCATAAGTGGAAACCAACCTGACAGATGAACATCTGTGTGAGAGTATTGTATCAGACATGATTTACACTGGCTTCTATTATAAGCCATTACCAGAATAAACCGTTTCTGAACTTAAACTAAACTTTATTTCAAGTTTAAAAATCTAATAAACAGGAAACTGCTAGTGTACTTAGTGAAGAAAAAAGTAAATAATAAGCTTTAAGTATGATGTTAAGTTCTTGCAGTATAAAAACTATTCAGCTAATACACTTCAAAGTATATTTAAATAAACTCTAGAAGTATCTATAGTATACCTATAAGTTCACTTTTAGTATAGTTCACAGTATACTTGCAATACAAAATAAAACTTAAAGTTTACTTATGTTAAAACAAAATTAACTTGAAGTATACTTCTTTTTTGTAAGGTCTGTTGTGTGCACGTTCAGAACTACTTAGGACTAAATTGGACAGCTTTTTAGTAAAAGTATACTTTAAAAGTAACAGTAGTACACAACTAGTTTACATTGTGTTGTTTTTATATTCCATATATGTATTTCAACTATACTACAAGATAACTTATAAGTGTACTTTTTAGTTTATGGAAGTACACTTTTAGGTAGTTTAGTTTTTATATTGCAAGTATAATTATATGTTGTATGCAAACATAACAGCATACTTCAAGTCTATTTTAAGTATACTACTTGGTCCCTAAGTATACTCTAAGTATTCTAAGTGTATCATAACTGTACTTAAGCTAGAACCAGAGGATTTATGCCAGAGGTTTTTGACGATTTACAAAAATAATGCCTTTATGAAAAAGCTATATCTACAAGATTAAATAATAATGACATTGTGTTTGTAGGTTAAAAGAAGTATGCTAATAACACACTTTATTCAGTCGCAACCCTCAGCCAATATATCAGACATCATCGGTCTCTTATCGTACAAATGTTCAGAAGAAACATTCGTTAAAGACACGAAATGAGAACAAATCTCTTGAGTTTTCACTGGGCTTCAGGATGAGAACTCCAAAATATCAGCAATTACAGATATTTTCCAAATCGCAGCCCGGCCGCAGATCTTAACCAGACTGTTTCTGTGTCCTGTGTTCGTACTGTTGCGTCAGGTTGCGTAAATGAACATCGTGCCACGGTGTCCGTTGTCTGTCCAGAGCTCTGTGTCAGGATGAAGTGTGTGTGAGAGCATGATTGTCCGTCATCAACTATGAGCAAATAAAACTCTCGTAACATATCTTGTCTCTCGCACCTGTAGGTCATAGAGTTCGATGACGGATCGGGCTCCGTTCTGAGAATCCAGCCGCTGCGGACGCCGCGCGATGAAGCCATTTACGAATGTGTCGCCTCCAACAGTGTTGGGGAGACGAGCGCCACCACACGACTCACTGTTTTACGTGGTAGGTTTATGAGCAAAAACCTGCGCTAACCTTTGCTCTCTCATTGCCTTCCAGCCTTCACAGGTATGTTGGCTGTGTCTGTATCTTTCTTCAGTGTGTGAGCTTTGGTTTCGTTCACATGTTTAAGCCGGAGTAGTTGGCAATTCAGTAAATTACGTTTTATTTCTAGAAAAGGGTCCTGCGGATGGATCATTCAGCTCCTTCAGCTCACACTGACCGTGGAGCTTTTTAACGGGGTGATTAATATTCTAATTAGCAGACGGGCTTTCCCGCTCGCTAGCTTCTGCATCATCAATATAACTCTAATTTTATGCTACATTTACAACATTTCTTACAAAGTGGCCTTGTTGAATGTGCCAGCGTCCGTGTGGAGAAACCGGAGTGAAACTGCTCTCCTTTCCCAGTTTTTACCATTTGCACCAATGAAAGACTTATATTTTAATGAAATGATGAAAAGCAGCTACTAAACAAAACAGTCCTTGCCAGTTTATATCTGGTTGGTGTGAGAAAGAATCTGCCAGACCTAAAATGGGAGAAATGCAAAAGAAGAATATGCTTTCCACCTCCAAACATTAGCATGGTTATTGGCAAAACATTTTCCCTCTACTTTCTCCCTCCTTCTCGCTCCTTTGTGTCCACATCTGTTGTTGGAGGGAGAGTATTGCTGTTTGCAGCTCAGGCCTGATAAAACCTGCAACACAATAGCAGCGCGGCGCTTAGAAAACACACACACACACACACACACACACATACACACACACACTCTCTCTCTCTCACACACACACACACACTCTCTCTCACACACACACACACACACACACACACACTGCAGCACATCAGAACTCAATCAGGGGGAAGTCTGTGAATCTCTCTGGATATGTTGAGAATACTCTGCAGTATATATTGCTGTCTGTACAGATATGATGTGAACAGCAGGGGAGACCGAGGGCGATGTTACAGGACATACAGCAGAACATGTCCTTCATAACTCTCAGATCTCCCTGCCATCTGTGGGTCTGAGAAACATACGGCAGCATCTGCCGTTTATTACAGTATTCCGTTTATTACCTTATTAAAGATGTACAGTTGCCCCCCCCTTACTATTTAGACCAATGATATTGACCCAGATTGTGTCATAACATCAGTGATTCCAGAACTATTAATATCAGTGTTATTTTAGTACTGTTATTTATTATTTTAAGTATTAAGTGTAGTATTTAATATTTTGTTATTATTTATAGTATTTATTATTTTGAATTAACTTTCATTTTCATATTTTCAGTCTTCATTCTAATTTTAGTTTAAATTTAAATTGAAGTCTTAGTCATTTTATGCACTTTAACATTAAGTATGTAGGTTTAATAAAAAAATTTTTTTTTAATTTTAATATGATTTAAAAATATATATTTTTATATAGCTGTTAAATTTAATTAATAGTTTTAGTAATTTTATTAGAATTTTTAAAGATTTGTATATAGTTTAATTGAATTAATTAATGTAGGTACATTAGCTTATTTTAGTTAGTTATCGAAGAAACATTTTTCATTTTCATTTAAATTTGTCATTTTTATGACATTTTTCATTTTATTTTATTAAGTTTTGTCAATTACCCTTTTGTTTTAATTAACTTTTGGTTTTACCTAACAATAACAACAGCGATTAATGTTACTGAATATATTATATATCATATTATATCTGTCAGCAATAATATGCATTTAAAACAAACGCCAATGTGTAATTAAATAGTTTTACTAAAATATATTGATTAGCTCAAGAACAGTCTTTAACTAAACACTTTGATGAAATAATTGCATATTTCAAAGAACAGTTTTTTTTTTTTGCTTCAGTGATGTTTTATTTTATAACTTGTGACATACGACCAATCGCGAGAGTTTCACTATCTGACATTTATTTGAACTTTTACCTAGTAACCTGGAGATAAAATAGATATTAATTGCAATTCAAGTCGTTAAAACCAAAGAAATTGCTTCTTTTTTTTCCCTTCAAAATGAGATTTTTTTGGTAAAGATTGCATGTGAAGTTATCATCGTGGGAATAAATGTGATTATTTTACCTTTATCAAATTTTATGTAAAGTGTCTTAACTCGGGCTCTCCAATCCAATAATGAGTCAAGGAAGATTAAAAACGACTGGCGGCTCGTTCGTCACACTGGAATGGAAGGTCGAGTGGAGCACAAAGCGCTGTGTGATTGAGTATTGCACACAGAGAGTCTGAACTCACACACTACAGCAGTATATACTCTATAAATGCAGTATGAGTACGAGTCGTGTGCTGTTCTCTCTCCGAGCCTCACCTGGAATGACGGTCTAAATGGAAATAATTACGAACAGGAAGCCTTAAACAAATATTTATCTATTAATATAAATGAAGGAAGCCGAGTTGTAGTAATTACTGCACATTCAGCCAGTGGGCAAGCAGCATCGTTTGAGCATGAATAATGACACAAAACTAATACATATTCCGCCGTAAGATATCAGGCTGCGGCAGACTGCACGAGCATCGAAAACAAGCTTTGCATTAAAGCGTCTTTGCCTCGGTTAAGCCCCGACATACTTTTCTTCCCCTAAAAACGTGGCGTTCAATCGGCCGTGCTTGTGTTGTGTGGGAATATGGGTCATGTCTTATTCATGAATGCACCCACTGAACTGGGACCAATGCGTTCGGTCCTTTCACAGACTGGCCAGGGATTTCAGGCCCATATTTGCCAACAAGGTCACAGGCACAATGCATTCTGCATCAAAGAAAACAAAAGATCTCCACGCTGGAGAAGCGCAAACGTTGCTGTTGGCCGAGAAAAGTTCCAGAGAAATGCATTTGAGCACTCAGTTGAGCACCCTTTCGCCATCTACTCACATCATGCCATTTCGAACACGTGTGAGATGCTCTTTTCCATTAAAATAGCTTTTCTGTAGCCATATTCAAAACCTGATGTGCATACGCAAATATGTTAGAAATGATAATAAATGAGTGAAAACGTAAATGTGGGTCATTTTCGGGTCAGTTCCTTACTCAAAACATCACATTACTTCAGAAGACTCAAATGGAGAAGAAATGTGGACTAAAGTTATGATGCTTGTATTTTACTTTTATGGTGTGCTTTTTTTTTGTAACAAAACCAACAATGGGACATTAGATGCATACATTTTCAACATTATATGATGCTGTAAAATTCATGCACGACTCTGGTAAAGACAGAGGAAATCGATGCATCAGAGCTATAAGACCAGACATGGCTTTTGCTTGCAGGATTCAGGATAAAGCTGAGGGCTCTGGAGAAGTAAAGTGCCACTAGGCATGGTGGAACTGAAAGGCCTTTAAATGACCCTGAGGGGGAACATTAGCGTCAGAATTTGGCTCCAGGGATGGAGAAACATCAGAGAGATTAACTGAATTCATTTAGTTCAATGTGCTGTGACCTGATGTCCATTTGACGTCCACTCACACAGTCAGCCGGAGAATATCATCAGCGCTGATGTTACAGCGCCGCAGGCACCGACCCCATGATCCTGTCCTGAGAACTAGCTCATATTTCCTAAGCCAATAGCATGAAGAGTAACTCGTTTCAAAATTATCAGATGTCTGTTTTACCCTTAAAATGGTGATTTTGGCCAGTCTCCACTTTCTCATCTGTGTCCAGCAATGATCCTAAATCATGCAACAATGTCAGTTTTTATATAGTCAGTTGCATTAATATTTATTCCTTGTATTAGGAACTGTATTAGTTATTAATTCATTTTAATTTCCCAAATGTATCATTTAGCAGTGTCCAGTGTTTTGCGCTCATCCCTGTTATTGCTTAATTTTATTGCATTAAAAAAGTGACACCCAGGAAATTACATCATTTCGACATGACAGGAAAACTTACTTAAATACTTATTTATGTATTTATGTATGTATGTATTTAGTTTTCTTTCTTTTTTTCTTTCTTTTACAATTTGTAGTGTTGACTGCATTCATCAAATTCAACCATCATTATTGTAAGAAAAATTAATTTTGATTTATAGAAAAAAATATATATATTTGGTAACACTTCACAATAAGGTCCCATTAGTTAATTTACAATGAGCTATACATTTATTACAGTATTTTTAAATATTTGCTAACATTATTCAATTAACAAAAAATGTTCATTGTTATTTCATGTCAGTTGAAATCTATTAAATAATATTAATAAAGTAATATTAACAGGTTAACACCAGGTAGCACATTTTGGTTTTAACTAACAAAGATTAATAATGCTGTAGAAGTATTTTTCAGTGTTAGTTCATGTTAACTCATTGAAGTGTTACCATCAAAGTCAACTATCAACCCTGTAAAGAAAGGTATACAAAAAAAAAAATATATATATATAGGCTAAATCTGAAAACCTGTTACTACTCATTCTAGTGCCTTCAAATCACACAAAACTTGATTTATTCCACGGATTTTGGTGTCGGGTTGCAGAAAATGAAAGCAAATAAAACCATCTGTTCATGAATGTGCCGATCATTCATTGGATTCAGGGCATATGGAGTTAAAGTTATGGCGCTCCGATGTTTAAAACAATTCCTGCATCTTCATTTATTTGATAAGAGCTTTCACAGACGCATCTTCTGCAGTGAGGAAGGATGAATGACGTTCTGCTCTGTTATGTCACGGAGGGAAAGTCCAACAGCTGCTCTTCCGTTCGGATCTGTTTCTCACAGCGGAGCTAGAGGAGAAGCCTCTGCGATCGTGACCGGTGACACTGATGGGAAATGGTGCATTCTCTGCCTTACCTCAGCCTCTAGGCGTCTAGACAAAGCCTGTTTTATGGTAATCCAGAAATATCCGTGCCAGAGCCGGAACGCCGGCACCTTTCTTCTGAACGTGCTTGAAAGTGCATCAATTTACTCGAATCTGACCGTCCCTCAACTTTTGCTTTGAACGAAGGCGTAATCTTCGGCACACAGTC